GCTTTCGTGGACTACAGCCCACTTCTTCGGATGCATATCTAGAAGTGGGCTGTAGTCCACGAAAGCTTATGCTCTAATAAATTTGTTAGTCTCTAAGGTGCCACAAGTACTGCTGTTCTTTTTGCGGATACAGACTAACACGGCTGCTACTTTGAAACCAGTGAATATAGTGTATTTCAATTTTCAGAAAGCCTTTGACAGGGTCCCTCATCAAAGACTGTCATGGGATAAGAGGGAAAGTCCTTTCATGGACTGGTAACTGGTTAAAAGACAGGAAGCAAAGGGTAGGAATAAATGGTCAGTTTTCAGAAGGGAGAGAGGTAAGTAGTGGTCTCCCCCAGGGGTGTATACTAGGCCCAGTCCTATTCCACATATTCATAAATGATCTGGAAAAGGGGTAAACAGTGAGGTGGCAAAATTGGCAGATGATACAAAACTATTCAAGATAGTTCAGTCCCAGGCAGACTGCGAAGAGCTACAAAAGGATCTCTCAAAACTGGGTGACTGGGCAACAAAATGGCAGATGAAATTCAAAGTTGATAAATGTAAAGCAACGCACATGGGAAAATATAATCCCAGCTATACATATAAAATGAAAGAGTCTAAATTAGCTGTTACCACTCAAGAAAGAGATCTTGGAGTCCTTGTGGAGAGTTCTCTGAAAACATTCAGTCAATGGGCAGCGGCAGTCAAATAAGTGAACAGAATGTTGGGAATCATTAAGAAAGGGATAGATAATAAGACAGAAAATATGTTGCCTCTCTATAAATCCATGGTACCCCCACATCTTGAATACTGCGTGCAGATGTGGTTGCCCCATCACAAAAAAGATATATTAGAATTGGAAAAGGTTCAGAAGAGGGCGACAAAAATGATTAGGGGTCTGGAACGGCTTCCATATGAGGAGTGGGACTTTTCAACTTGGAAAAGAGACAACTAAAGGGGGATAGGCTAGAGGTCTATAAAATCATGACCGGTTTGGAGAAAGTAAATAAGGAAATGTTATTTATTCCTTCTCATAACACAAGAACTAGGGGCCACCAAATGAAATTAATAGGCAGCGGGTTTAAAACAAACAAAAGGAAGTATTTCTTCACACAGTGCACAGTCAGTCTGTGGAACTCCTCGCCAGAGGATGTTGTGAAGGCCAAGACTATAATGGTTCAAAGAACAACTAAAGTAGTTCATGGAGGATAGGTCCATCAATGGCTATTAGCAGGATGGGCAGGAATGGTGTCCCTGGCCTCTGTTTGCCAGAAGCTGGGAATGGGCGACAGGGGATGGGTCACTTGATTCCCTGTTCTGTTCATTCCCTCTGGGGCACCTGGCATTGGCCACTGTCGGCAGACAGGATACTGGGCTAGATGGACTTTTGGTCTGACTCAGTATGGCCGTTCTTATGCCTTCCCTCCCACAGCCTGTCCTACCTGGAGCAGACCTGCCAGGCCAGGCTCTCCCCACAGCAGAGAGGGAAGCGCTGGAATTCACTCCTGATGTATCGCCGCTCGCTGAGATCCCTGGATGACATGGGCTCCAATGCCAGCCGGATTGCAGCCCCCCGACCCCGGAGGAGACCTAGCTCTGCAGCCAAGAGGAGGCATCTGGATGGTGAGGGGCAAATGCCACATGCTGCTGCCCCTGCTAGGAAATAGCAGGTGTAACGCTGCCGGCAGTGACTAGTCCAAAGTGTGAGCGCCAGTCTCAGGTCACAGACAGGCCCCTCAGGGACAGGTGGGCTTACCTGTGTGCGAGCTGGTCCCTCACACGCAGCATCACAGCACCGTTCAGGTTACTGCCACTTCCGGAGGGCCAGTCCCTTCCCCCAGGTCAGTTCCACCTGAGGGCTTGTAGCCAGGATAAACTGTGAGAAACTGGGAAAGGAAACCAGGGAGTTATTTACAAGGTTAAAGCAAGTCGACAGAGAGCCACACAGATGAGTTACAGTCATAAGTTTAAAAAGGTAATGAAAGCTGCTATAGTCTGCAAGCTCTGTATGTCCTGTGGGGTAAGCCAGTCATGCCTACAAACGAACACTTTGCCCCCAGCGTGCAAGCAGTGTAATCAGTTCCTTCTTGTCAGGAGCTTTATTCCCCTCCGGCCATGTTCTGAGCTGCAAGCTCACCTGCTGGGAGGAGTCCACTCGCATGACTCTCCTTCATGGGGAAGAGGGCAGAATGGTAGAAGTCTCATGTCCTCTTGTTGACAGTCCCCAGGGAAGTTCCAGGTGCACCGTCCCAGCCCCTAGCACTAATTAATGTCTTTCTTCTGTCTGGCGGTTTACACAGTCACAGGCCCAAATACAACCATGCAGTGTGGGACACTGATGGTACATGTGAGATTAATCCAGGCAGCAGCTCCCAATCATAAAGTCTAAACCTATTCTTACCGTTCTAATACACCTCTACCCCAATATAACGCTGTCCTCGGGAGCCAAAAAATCTTACCGCGTTATAGGTGAAACCGTGTTATATCGAACTTGCTTTGATCCACTGGAGTGCGCAGCCCCGTCCCCCCCCGGAGCACTGCTTTACCGCATTATATCCGACTTCGTGTTATATTGGGGTAGAGGTGTACCTGTTTTACCAGTACTAGCACACAGGTGAGCCGGACTGCTTCCAGCTGTCAGTGTTCGACTGAGACCCGGGCACATTGGCACGAGCTGGCACCTGGGGGGCTCAGGTCAGGACTGAGGTGCACTGGCAGACCTGGCAGGGGGGGTGGAGAGCCCAGGGCTGGGATAGCAGGGGCTGTGGGTCAGGATTGGGGGGGTGCCAGCGGAGCTGGGTGTTGTACTTAAAGTACTGCACAGGATCTTTTCAGGGGGAATAAGGCAGAACGCCACATTTATT